TCGTTTTTTGTTTCCATCTATCTCCATGTTGAACTGTTTGTGTTTACTGTATCGACTTATGATTGTATTATTATGGAAACACGTTCATGAACAATATAAGTTATTACTTTGTAAAAGCCAACTGAGGATCCCGTTTGAGCCCTAGAGCAGACCGGAGATCTCTCCATTTGTTGAAAGCCTTCCCGATGTTGACTCGTCTTATTCCGCCGCCTGTCTGACTCCAGTTTTCCCCTTTTGGTGGCACTAGACAAAAGTTTTCTTTTCTTTGTCTTACGTTGAGTTTGTGTTGGGGTTTGGAATGAACTACAAGCCGATCTCTTAGAATCCATCTTCTACTTTTGTCGAAAGTTGACTAAAGTTTTGTCGCTCAAGTTGTCTTCGCTGATACGGAGAATGGCGGCAAATACACAAACCTGCCAGACATAGCCAGGTGAGCGTGAACGCGCACGACGTCACGCCCAGTCTCAATTATTTATTTTACTGTACAGGATTATAGAGGCAATCGCAATGATCAGAGAAGGGCTCATTCAACCCATCAGGCAATTGTTTAAGCATGTATGGGTTAGAAAAACGGGTATGTTTAACATGAAATGCTGCGCAATGCACCTTTAACAACACAAGCACCTATTAATTATAATGCCATAATAGTAGTATTGTATAAATATTAATGCCCACGAACCCCCATAGCAGGATCAATATAGCAATGACCTCTGTATTTATAAAATCATGCTGTTCACTTTTCATATAATCAACATAGATAAAATTAAAAATAACATTTATATTATTTATTTATAAAGGCTAGGTTAAAAACAGATATTATATTATGTATAGTTTGTTATTAGCTCACTTTTCGGCAAAAGCTCTGTTGGCTTTTACTATTTGAGAAATAAAAACTTGTGTTAAAGGGGTCATGTAATGCCATTTTTGTACAAGCTAATATGATTATTTAGGGTCTAAATTAAAAGTTTGTAATATACTTTAATTAAAAATTCTCATTAGTATTGTAAGAAAAGTCATTTTACCTGGTCAAAAACAGCTCTGTTTTCAGCACGCCGTTTCAGTGCATATGACTTTAAATGATAATGAGTAGGGGTGTAACGATACACAAACCTGACGGTTCGGTTCGTCCCACGGTTTTGAGGTCTCGGTTCGGTTCGGTTCATTTCGGTGGGGTGGGGGGGTTAAGAAAGCTAAAATTGCTTTTATTTTTTATTAAACAGTGCTTTAATTAACAAATTGTGTCCTTGTCTTTAAATTAATTCAATTACAAGGAAACGTTTCTCAAGGATAACAAAATTATCTGCTAATGCTGTAAACTACAGCCCTTACTTGCACATTACTATAACATTAAAGCTTAACAACAGAGCCTAGACTTTTAGCCTAAATGATATAATAATAATCAACACTCAAATAACAAATTGTCTGAAAACATGTAAACTGCACATAAGGCAATTTTTGCATTAACATGTTTTTACTCTAATTTGTTATCGTTATATAATAATTTACACAGTTGCTGTTATTTTCATGACAACTATTTTAAACATACATTAAATAATCAAGATATCATAAACAGGTTAAGTAAAATATAATATATAGGCTAATATATAGCATTTATTTAGTGAAAGAGTTAGCAAACCAGCAAGCTGTGGACACTGAATGACTTGCCTGAGGTAAATATAAAGCTATGTGAAAAACTAAGCGTTTTATTGACGTATTTCCGCTGTTGAAACACTGATTGAGTGTTTACACGAGTTATGATGCCTTTCAGTAAGTATACTGTATCTTTCAACATACCTTCGGGTGTCCATTCATGTTTATTCTGTAACTGAGGAAGAGATGATCGCGCTCCGCGCTGCCGCATGCATACAGTGATATCTGTCACGCCACATCTAAGAGCGCCAAAACGGCATTTATTGTTTGCATTTCGTGATCAAATAGACATAATTTGAAAGATTACACCTTGCTTATTATCAAAAGTAACAAAACACTGAGCTTATTGCGATTATATGTGGTTAATGGTGGTTAGGCAACAGCCCTGTATTCGTTGTGTACACATAACACATGAGGTGCAATGAGCCGGGGCTGGGCGGGGCAGCAGGGGGCGGGGCGTGTTCGGTTCGCCATGAGAGTATCGCGATACGTATCGTGGGTGGTGTATCGCGGTTTTTCGGTTCGGTTCAAATATCGTTACACCCCTAATAATGAGCTTTGCTCACTCCGCCCCTCTGTTCTGTACGTACACGTTTATAACACAATAACCATAATGCGTTGTTCAGTATAAACGTGGGATTATGAATTATATTGAGAACGTCGTACATAGAAAACATGCCGTAATGTACCCTGAGTGTAAACCTTAGACGCATTCATCGTGAAGCGTGCAGCTAGCAATTTGCAAAGATATAAATACTAATATAAAGGTTAATAAAACGTTACAGTCACTTCCGTTCTTCTGGAGATTCAGCAGGAACACGAATAGCTGGTACCGATCCTTTATTCATGAGCAGCTTCTTAGCAAAACCAGCTTTATACTGACCCTCGTTTATACGCAGTCTGGTGTGTGAAATGATTCGCGCAAACATGAACGCATTGACGTTGCTCGTGGGGAATATTCCGTTCGAAAACAAACTCAGCCACTGCGTCTTCAGCGGTTTGGATTTAGGAACATTAAAATGACTGCTGTGTTCGTTATTACACCCAAGAACAGAACACCACAATCGCTTAGATGCCATTCTGCTCATAGACAGTGCTCCAGCATATCAACAATGACTGCGCCGGTCCGCGCAGACTATGATTGACAGCTCGCTCACGAGCGAGGGCGGGTCTGTGTTGAAACGCTGCTGTCATTCAACAATCGCGGGAGGGGCGTCCGACCGCGTGACGTCACACGGTCGAACGGCTCGATTTGAGGCAGGGGAAAACATATAAGGAGATTAAAACAAAAACACTGGATGGATTTTTATCATTATATGATGGTTGTGTACAGGCACTGCCAACAGAACACACATTTCAGTACAATCAACTTGAAAAAGTGCATGTACCATTATATGAACCCTTTAATGTTAGGCAAATGGTTAATTATTTGTATGACTACATCACGGAGTCAAGTCTTGTAAAAGCATTCGAATGAAAACATTGAAATTTCATAAAGTTTGTAAATAATAGAAACGTAGTTAAAAATGGCCTTTCTTTAAATGCAAATGTTCTTTGAGTATTTCATTTGTAAAGGTAAAGCATGTACTCACTATACTCCTAATTACAAGAAGAAAAAACTGCTCTTAAACTGGGTGTGTGACGGGCTGTGGAATGGGGTTTGGCCGAGGAAAAATTCAGTCAAAAGATTTTTTTTTTGCTTTAACCCCTGCAGAGTTCACATCTAACTTTCTCTCTCTTTTCTGAGTACTTCTAGAGCCCACAAAGCTGGAACATTCACCTTTGAGTCAAGACCTGATCCGCTACCCCTGCAACAGTTTTAGCAAACCCCTGCAGGAAATAAAGATGAATCGTAGGACTGCATTTGGGACCACCACTCTAGTCCTAACCAACCTCAGTGCAAAACCTGACTCTCCTTCAAGTCCTGCCATTAACCAGGCACACACACCAGAGACAATGAGGGGTCTGAGCACACGCGACTACTGGCAGCGGAGGAGTCCCAGTAATAGCGAGAGTGGGATGCAATTCAAAGGCAATGAGCCCTATAAGAGAGAATCTCTAGCAGACCACAGTCAGCCTAACAAGAGAATGAAAACCACGAATGGAGCGCTTTCTGTAGGCTCCTCAAGGTGAGCGAGTGCAGTTAGTGTTTTGCCTATGACAAGATGTATCAGTGAAGTACTGATATTTTTATTCATTAATAAAACTAAAGAATACCAGCAAGTATGATTTATGACAAGATGTAATGTATACTAAGAATAAATTAATAATTCACCTGTCATGTATTCACCCTCATGTCATTTCAAACCTGTATGACTTTGTTTATTCTGTGGTACATAGAGATAAAAACGATATTTTGAAATGTATACATATTTAACTTTATTATTTTTTTGTCCATACATTAAAATTGAATGGGGTCCAGACAGTGTTGTTTTGGAACCCATTGACTTTCATTGCATGGACAAAGACATTCTTCAAAATATCTTTTGTGTTCTATTGAAAGATAAATATACAGGTTTGAGGGTGCGTATTATTATGACAGGATTTTTGGGTGAACAATTTCTTTGTTGAATGGCACAATGTTAAATAAATAATATAGTTGATTTTGAATAAAAGAACATCTCATTCAACTAATCAGGGGCACCGGCACACAGAGTAATGAAGCATCCCTACCCACAACCCCCTGCTGCAATAGTCATCACCGACCATGCAACCTGAGGGTAGTCAATAAGGAAGGAGAAAACAAAGGCAGGCAGTTCTACACCTGCTCCTTACCCCGAGGAACTCAGTGTAACTTCTTTGAGGTAAGTTTTAAAATTCTGTAAAATAAAATCAATTTTAATTTTCAAATCCGTTTGAAACTAAAACTAGAATTCGAGGTTTGTACTTATTTCAACTCTGATTCTTGCAACAGTGGGCAGACCTGCATTTTCCCACGTGTCATCATGGCAAACGGACTCTTATGAAGACCGTTCTAAAACTGGGACCGAATAACGGCCGCAACTTCTACACATGCCCAGTTAAAATGGGCAAGCAATGTAACTACTTCCAGTGGGCTGAGACCGGCCCTGGCATATCAATTCTGCCTGGCTGCTGAATCCACAACATGAGTTGGACATTGCATCTTTTATTTAAATGTATTAAAAATACTTTTGAAGCAATTCTTGTTTGTTGAGATGATGAAAACACAAGCATGTGCTTTGTCATGGTAAATCTTTAATAAAAATTTGTTTTGAAAAAGCATTTCCAATTAACATTTCCTGATTTCTGTGGAAACATATAGACATCCCAGAGCTTAATATATTTCTCAGATCTTACAATAGATTTTTTAAAAATAAATTGGAAGGTTTTTTTTTTATTTTTTATATATAAAGTAGTGCAATGTGAACAATGATCATAAGACATATACCAATCAAAAATTCATGAACAAACTTTAAGAAGCATGTAAACATAAAAACGAAATGCTGGCAATTAAAAGCAGTCCACCTTCTGCAACTGAGGTTGGTTTGTCTGTGGGTTAACCACCATGAAGGGGAACTGGCTGAACCCAGGACGCTTGTTACAAGCTGCACCTTTGAATAAAAGAAGGGGTTTTTTGACAATGAATTTCATGATTCTTATAACACTTTTTATACTAATTCTGAATAAGCAGCAAACATTAGACATTTACCATATCCACCAGTAGTATTGGCACAAATAAGTGCTCCAAAAAAATCGGGGTAGTACTTCTTGATTCTGGATATGGCCATTTTACAGGCAGCAGTGGGTTGGGCTCCATTTCTCATTAAATCAACAGCTAGAAAACTGATAAAAAATGAACATTTTTAATAAAAGGTTTCAATTAGATATTTCTATAGAATCACATTTATTTTATCAATGCAGTTCATACCAGTTTTTCTTTTCTAGAGGTCATTTTATTAGCATCAACAGAATGGTAATTACCTAGGAAGGAAACGCATCATGATGTCTCCATCCCCTGTGGCAGCCGCTCCCCCCGCTGTGCTGTCGGCATAAGCCCCGGCTCCAGCCACTGGTGAATCACCTACACGACTACAGATCAGCATACATATACTTTACTAAAGCTCTGTTGACAGGGGACTGGAAATCCATTTCTGTCACTACTGAAAAACAGCAAAGCTAAAATCACAGTGAAGTTTCTTGAGGTTCTGTTTTTCTTTTGATTTTAAACACTAATGCATTCTGACTTCAGTAGGACACCTGGGACATTCTAACAAGCTGTCATACTCACCCTGGTATCTTATGTGTTGCTCCATTGGTGGACGTTGCAGCAGCCACCTGTCCGTTCTTACCAATCACAATCATTCCTAATCAAAATTACCGGTAAGAATGTCACATCATCTAAGCTCATATGCATCAATGGATTGAAACAAGCAGTGGTTTTCAAATATGTCCTCAAGGCATTCAGCCCATTTATCATGCTTTCTTTTCATTATGCAAATGAAAACTAATGAGCTTGATACTCTGTGGACCCAAGTCTGCATTAAGAAAAACACATTTGCACCAACAGATTTCTTTGTCTGATCATCTATCCATCTTTTTAATCTAGGCTTTACAATAAATAAACACGTATAATCTTAAGAGTAATATTACCAATTGTGTCATGAGAACTGGGGTCAAAATTTCCCTTCGGATGCTTTGGCCTCCACGACTTAGCGTTGGGCTTGTACGGCCCACATGATTTGGAAGGGTCTGGAAAAACATTCTGTAAAATAAAAAGACGAAATAAACAAGTGATATTGCTTCAAATCATGCTTTGATATGGGACACAGAACAAAGGTTTTTTTTTTTTTATGACTAACGTTTTAAAATTAGCATTATATAAGCAAGGCCATCCATTTTTCATGTTGCTCCCTGATTTGCTTTATCCACCTTAAAGTTTTCTAGGGAAATTCAGATTTTTGATGATCTGATTTATATAGCCAACAACCCTTACAGTTTAATCTGACTATGAAAACACAAAAAATAATGTATTCAGAGCATTGTTTCGCATATTTCCATAAGGCTTTGATTGTGCCAATAGCAGAATGTAGGAATCAACCATTGTTTTCTTCATGAATCTCACTATGCATTATTCATTGGTTTGTTTCACGGTGCATATTTTCTAGTCAGTGATATCCTTCCAAAACTTCTCAACAAATCCTGTATGAATTGAGGTAAACATGACTGCTTCTCAATGTAAAGCAAGTCTTGTAAAGCACATGCAATTCTGGCTCTAACCATAACACTGACTGAAACTTTTTAAAAAAATCTTTCAAAGACGTTTGGTTCAATTGAAGTATATCGAAACGGTTTATCTGCCACAGATCATCTTCTAAAACCACGTTTGAAGTTGCCAAAGGTGCTTAAGAACTTAAAAGGTAAACCCTGCAGTGATGATTACACAGAGGTTCCTGGTTTTAGAGACTCACCTTTCTATAGTTGGGTTGACAATTCAGCTGCAACCACTTGGAGAAAATAGCTATTGATTGGTTGGCTGACAAGTCCTCAGACATGAAGCCTATGTTTTGTGCAAAGATTGTGGCTGCATGAAGACAGAAAAAAGTAACTTTTCAGTGCTACTAAACTTCATATAGCAGGGGAGGTTTGAACTGAATCACATAGTAGAGCTGATTTGAAATAAACATTAGACACAGGAAAGAGCAAAAATGGAGCAGGGGAGGCTTACTCAGCCTTTTTTATTGTAATGTGGATGTTAAGCAGCCATGCATACAGAAAGAAAGCTGTTTTAGTACTCTAATTTTAATTAAGAAAGCAGATGGAATTAATAGAATGGCACAACATTATAGATGGAACTACAAAGTGTAAAGCTGATATAAAATCTGAATAGGCCTCTAGTATCTATATACACATAATTTAGAGAAAGAAAGAGTTGAAAATACATTTTTAATTCTTAAATCACTCCATCTGTGATCACATTTTCCCCCTGGGCGAACCTCTTGATCACTGAGTTGCAGCCACATGATTTGTGAATGGAGTGACTACTAAATGCAGTTCCTACCTGATTCGCCCACTATGAAGGTGTGCTCTGTGTATTCCATCACGGCTCGGGCAACACCCACAGCATTTTTGACCCTGCGTAGGTCTCCCACTGCCCCCACTTCCATTGTGTCACTGAACATGGGACATATAGCAAACAAACACAGGGCTGATACTTTACAGTAACTAGGCGAACTATAATGACAAACACTTAATGTAAAAACTTCATAATTAGTTTGCAATTTATCATTGTGCAAAAAACAAAGTACAAGCTTTTGTGTCATGTTGTAATGCTAAACATAACGGTAGACGTGTATGATTGGTAAAAATGAATGAAAAATTGTTTTCAGATCAGCGCCTATGGTCACAATGTTTTTTTTTTTTTTTTTTTTTTTTACATTTCTTTTTATTTAAATTGTGTTAAACTCCTGTGGCCTCATGGGATAGTAAGGCCAAGGGTCATCACATGCACACTTCTGAATCTCGCCGGAACTAGGAGGTCATCCAGGTACTTTTTGCCTACTCTTTTATGACTACAATGACATATTTTTTCACATACTGTTTTTCGCATACTACATAAAAAGGAAGTAAGCAATGTCGGATGCAGCCCTCTTCTCTGATGACGTGTTTTTCGTCGCAAGGGTGGAATAAACTGAGACACGGACAAGTGAGATCGCTGCAATAGAGTGCAACAGTGCCTGCCAAATTTTTCAGAGATGCTGGTTCTGGAAGTATTTTTTCCATTCATTTTTACCATAGGGATTTATAAAAAGGTCTTTGTTAAAGCATTGTAAGCCTTAAATCCACCCAATCACAACACCACAAAATTTGATTTGAAGCAAAGTAGTATTTGACAATCTGACAAAATACAAAGGTACAATCCGATGAAGCATTGCGAACAGCAGAATATAATTATAAACAATGGATAAATATAAAACTTCTTATTTAATTTTTATATATAATTGCAAATATTTAAGTATTTTGAAACCATAGGGAGTCCATTGCTGAATCTGGAATCCCATACTAGCGTACTCTTATCTACTACTTACCACATCTTACTATGGCAGAAATAGTAAGAGTAGTATATGCAGTTCCGAATTCAGTACGACTCACTGCTTCATGGGAGTGGACGGAGCTAAATAGCTATTTTTGTTGTATAATATTATTATTATTATGTATTATTATTTTTCAATGTGGGAAAATTCCTAGTTAAGCATAGCCTACTGATATATTTGCCTAGCCTACCCATTCATGATCATCGCGTCAAGGGTGGTCTCTCCCCGCTCATCCGGGCTCCCGCCGAACCCGACGCTGCCATCACACTGCTCGCGCTCACACTGCGCGCAACCCCTCTCCACCGCGTCCAGAACCGAGCCACCCTTCTGAAGCGAGCTCCAGGCTACAGAGAGAAATCACAGAAGACCCTACACATCCCTCAGAGCTCATACACGGTGCAGTCATAGTCATGGTCTCAGACTCTCACCTGCGCCAGCTGCATTCTCAAAATGCCAAGTGTTGATCACCAAGGGAAGAGCAGCTTGATTTAGAGGAAGCAAACAAATGATGGCAAATACTATTTGAATCATATTACAATACTCAATAGACATAATGCAATTCCTTCACATTTTAAGGGCATTCTGATCACGAGATCTGTCATGCAACTATTCACATCCGTGTTTTGTCACATGACGGCGTTGTGTTAATGAATATTTAAAGGGACCGCCAGTCAAATAGTTAGGTAATATTTTCATGTGATGATGAGACTAAATTTTGAGCTAACACATGGATTGAATTCGATCCGAGTTGTCATTTTTATGTCCTAGGGGTTGAGTTTTATCAAAATAAAACATTTTAAACCTTTTCCACGAGACTTGATGTGTGAAGAAAACAAAGACTCAAAATCAAGGTAAATACCACTTGTTAGCATATTTTATTGTTGTTGTTTTTTTAAATCACATTGCAATTTTGTCAAATTAATAAAAAATTATTATTTCAACAATTGTATTTAGGACACAAATTAGCCATGAATCTAGCCTAGCAATCCAGATGGTAAAAATTCAGAAAAAACAAATGATATGACTTCTCCTGTGATGCATGTATAGCCTACACTAAATAAATCAGTTAGAGTGTGAAAAGTGTTTTAAGGGATTCCCCCCGGGGCCTTGAAAGTTAAAAACAATACCTTATACAGTGTTAAAGACAGATGTACTTTGAGGTGGAAGTTATATACTGTTGATGCCATCTGTTTACATTATTTCGCTTAATTCTTTTAAATTATTGTATTGGTTTTTTTTTTTTAATTACAACAAAAAATACAAAATAGGTGTACACATCCAAAACCTGAATTGGGCTCAGGTGCATAAAAATATAAAAGTCTGCAAACTAAAATTACAGTAGGCTACTACATAAAGTTTATAAATGAGCTCAAATTCAACCAGTCAAGTCTTGTGGATTGTGTCTGATGAAGACCTGACTGGCTGAAATGTTTCATAAATTAGCTTACTAAAACCTGCAATTTCAGTGTGCAGACATTATCTTTTTTCAAAACAACATTATCCATGATTCTGCAAAATAGACACAAGCAAATTGTATCAAAAGAACGTGAATCAGTGAATGATGTAAAAGATTTAGTAGAAGCAAATCAACATTGTCCATAAAGGGATTTCCTCGAACGTCAGAAGCTATTACTTCTACAAATCCGTTTTGGACTTTCTGTGAGAGAGTGTAATGAAACATACGAGAGTGTTCGCGCTATATAATGTTCAAATCGCCTTATTTTTGATAAAAAAATAAAATGACAGGTCATGCATAGACTATCTTGTCTCTTTGAATTTAAATCTAGATTTGTAGTTCTTTCCCTAATGAAAGCCTTAAAGTCTTTGAACCTTGAACCTTTTTCCTTTTTCTTGATTCACCTTGAAGATGATTGGTTTGGTTCATGGCTTATAACTTTTTAACAAAGAATATGAAAAAATAATGGAAAAAAGTTATTCTGGAAACAAGGCTGCTGCGCGGATGGGCACTTGCACTATACACCAGCTACAGCATAGCTTTATAAGCTGTAATATACAGTAACAAAATACTGTCCATTGAAAAACTCTTCTTATATAGTGAGTGCCACATTGTTCATGACATGGGATTTAGTCACCTGGTTAAATAACGCATAGTATATAGTAAATCCTGCAGGAACCTTAGAACAGAAACTCTGCCAAATATAGGATGAAAAGGGGCACACTTATGTGGCCTGCCCTCTAAACATGACAGCAGTAGTACATACAGCACAGGTCTTGACAAAGTGTTGCTCTAACCAGAGAAAGAATGCAAAGATATTGAATTTCTTGTTACATTATTCATAGAAGGAATATACAGTTTTATACCATATTTTATTCATGGATTTGCCCTCATACAATAATGCCTTATAAAAGAGTCCGTATGCAACAGAGGCGTGTGCTGCTTAGTGCAGGACAGATCTGAAAGGCCAATAAAGAGTTATTAAATGCACAGAAAGCAGAGACGGATCTAATACTAACTTAAAGTGACATAAGCAGAGTTTCTAGGAATGTATTACAGAGCCAAACATCACTTTCTTTATGATAATAATGTAATGTCTGTATAGGCTTACAACCAGTATACCAGACAAACAAGCAAAAATACCTTGAATAATAATCTGTCTTATAATAGAGAAAATAAGCAGTCCAAGAGCATTATAAACATGGTTAACATTTAATATTTAATATGTTTGGAGTTTGGACGGTCAATCAAAAGAACATTTTGGTTTGTGAGGAGAATGTCCCTTGACAGACAGTTTCTGAAAGGAGAACACTTAGCAACATGCACCCTTGCAGAAAGCATCCCACTTTCTAAATGCATTCAGAAACACACTGATTGGACCACTATGCTGTAAAGAATGACACCATTGATCATGTGTTATATATATATATATATATATATATATATATATATATATATATATATATATATATATATACGATATACACACACACACTGTATGCTCCGGCTCTTCTGTTTTCTGTGTTTATCTATCTTAGTTAGACCATTTGTTTTTATTTAATCTATTCTTATCCGTTTTAATTTAGTGTTATGTAGTCATTTTTTAAATTGACTTTTATCTTTACATTTCAGTTTTCATTTTAATTTCAGTTTTAGTAATTTTTTAATTTATATACATTTTTTTTCTATTTAGCTTTATTTTATTTCAGTTCCAGTACTTTAGTTGTAATTTTTTTCTAACATTCATTTAAGTTTAAGCTTTTTCATCTAATATATATATATATTATTTTAGCTTTTTTTCCAAAACAATTTTTAATGGTTTTAATTTGAGTTAAAAATAACAACACTGGTTCTTAATGGTCTTAAAGGGTGAAATAAATCAGACATTATGATTTCATCTTAGGGATCAATTAAATGCTGTCTTATTTATCTTATGGTCCTAATGAGAGGTATTTGAGTAAAAAAGTATTTACTAATGAAGGCAAAGATGGCACTGAAATCATAACAAAATGCCATAAGGGTGCAAGTGCATTGGATAACTTGCATTGGAATCAGTTTATTATATACAAGTTGTAACAAAGATGTGCTTCCATGTGTTAAAATAAAAAAATAAAAAATTCAAACAGATGGTGGAATGTGTTTATTAATGTGCCAGACTTTGAAAATACATTTAAATTTCATGAAGTTCTTTTTAAATTGGTTTAAATGATGCGAGTCAGTCAAAACATGCTGAGTAAAACTCCAGGTGAGGTGGCACTAACTAACACAGCAGTCACCTGATGAATGGGGAAAATTGCAATCAAATTTCAATATTTGGCATAGGAATAAATATTCAGCAATGACAGATCTCTCATCAGAGAATTTTAAATGTTGATGAACAAATGTTTGGGAACTGAACTGGCCTCACAAGCGAAGATGTGTCTATATAAGTCTTTATTTGGGCCTAAAAATGGACTTTTAAAATAATGGCAATCATATGCCAACAACAATGTTAATTATAAAAATGTTGCAGGAATGAGGCATGTATTTGTCTATTTTTAGGCCAGTAAGCAATTAAGTATATGCTTTAAAGTGAGTTTTTTAAAGACTAAGGATTTTTAAAGACTAAGGTCACCAAATGTCAACGAATAGGGAAAGACTTACTGTCCCTCAGTTTAAATGATTATTTAACAGATTGTGACCTAGTTTCATAAAGATTTAAATTAAAATTTAAAATGTTGTCTTAAACAACAACAACAACGTTTAGACTATTGCATTTTGCAAAGGCATCTTTTATATTTTTCTACATAAACGTTATGGAAATTATGTACGAATTGCTCTGAGAGGAAGATACATTCAGGATATTTCGGAATATTTAAAAAGAAAAACAGAATTATTTTCAAACCAAAAACATTATAAGCAATGCCTTGAACATGAACAAAAATGTAGCATAATGTGAGATTAAATATGCTTTACATGGAAAAAGCCTGCATTTAAAGCCATTCTGACATCAATACAGTGTCTTTATTCAACATTCGCCATGGCTGTCAGCACTAAATCTTGTACCATTTTACAGGAGACTCTACAGTAGTTGAAATTAGATTATGTTACTTGGGTATTACATGGAGATCACATTAGTCTTAGGCCTGACAAAATATAGTATTTTTCAAATAAATGATCCTGAATAATTTACATAAATTATCCTCAAACTATGTTTCTTCTTTTCATTCTGATTCAGATCATGCCATGATTTTGAAGCAGTGTTCACCACAGGGAGATGTGGATAACATCAGAAACTTTAAGAAGCCATGAACCTTTCATACAAATAAAAAAATAGGAGAGGGAAAGAAAACTTTTAATCCAATATGTGCTGGATAAAAAGAAGGATTGAGAAACATGATAGTGAAAAGACAAATAAAACAACAATATATTTCTGAGAAACAATGCTCTTGTATTTTCCCACAGGTGTCCAGTATGAGCAGTCAGTTGCAGTCGCTTTACATTCATCCTGTGAAGTACCTTCTGCGGCAATTCATGTCTCATTGAAGACCTAAAGGTCAGTGATTGAAGCTGTTGTATAATGTCACATATATAGCCACCCTGTCTTGTCGGTGTCAGCTGTCCAGTCAAGGACTGTGATTTCTGTTTTGAACAGAAGTCAACCCTGGAGCAGCTCCATTTTTATGCTGTATATCTGGGTTCATTCCTGCCTAACTCCCAGCAACTACCATTAATGTACAATGAATGCCTCTGGCAAAACTTGAGTTACCGGAATCTACTGCACATGAGTTTACCAGCATGCATCCATCTCTGCTGCATTAGAAAGAAAAAGAAAGAGGGAGACTTTCAGGGCCCATAGCAGAGAGGCTGGAGATGGGTTGATTGAATTTAAACATCCACACAAAGCACAACAACAATTCATATTCCTAAATTATTCCCAAACATTAAGTTCAACTGCAGTACATCTTTTGTTGTGTTGTCTTGCAAAGGGACCTCCAATTCCCTCAAAATCAAAGAAAAAATCTACCGATGATTTTTAAAATATTCCAGTCACGGTTCCAGAGTGTATAAAGAAAGATTGGTGTTATTAGGGCCCAAGCCTTGAAAAGGCGAAGGCCCTATTGTTTTCCTTAGGATTATTAGGGCCCAAGCCCAAAGGGCGAAGGCCCTATTGTTTT